GAGCAGGGAGCCCGATGCGGGACTCGATCCCAGGACTCCAGGATCATGACCTGAGCCGAAGGCAGTCGCTTAACCAACTGAGCCACCCAGGCGCCCCTATTTGTATTTTCTTATCTAATATATTATTTAGGAATTGTGTGTGCATTTAGAAAGTAAAATGGGTCTCTAATATTCTTTCACCATATTGTCCTTATTCAGTTGAGGAATCAAGGATATATCAGCTTCATGAAATGAATTTCTTTTCCTTTTCTCTGTAATAATTTGTATATGGCAGGTGTTATTTGTTCTTTGAAAGTTTGGTAGAACCCCCCCGGTGAACTTTCTGGGGCTTCTTTTAATTAAAATTTCTGGTTCTTTCATGGTCTTTCATTGGTCTATTCAAGGCTGTTGCCTCTTTTTTTTAAATATTGGCATTTTCTATTCTTACAGGAATCCGTCCATTTTGTCAACATTTTAAAATGTATTGGTTTAGGGGCGCCTGGGTGGCTTAGTTGGTTAAGCATCTGACTCTTGATTTCAGCTCAGGTCATGATTTCAGGATTGTGAGATCAGGCTCCCTGCGGGGTGTGGAGCCTGCTTAAGATTCTCTCTCTTCCTCTCCCTCTGCCCCTCCCCGCCCCCACTTGTGCACTCTCTTAAAAAAACAATGTATTGGTTTATAGAGTTTGAATTTTTGTTTTATTACTCTAAAAATATTTATATCTGTAGTTCTTTCTCCCTTTTCACTATGAATTACATTTTTATTTGGCATCTTTCTTTTTTCTCTCCAGCAGCTTTGCCTGGAGCATTTCAAATAGCCAACTTTTGTTTTTTTGTTAATTTTCCCTGATTTTTCTACTTTATTTCCGCCTGAAAGCATTTTTCTTGTTTTTTGGATTTTCTCTATTGTTTCATATGTAATTTCTTTTTCTTTTTCTTTTTTTAAAGATTTTATATTTATTTATTTGAGAGAGCGAGCACAAGCAGGGGGAGTGGCAGGCAGAGGGAGAAGCAGACTCCCCGCTGAGCAGGGAGCCCGATGCTTGGCTCGTTCCCAGGACCCTGGGATCATGACCTGAGCAGAAGTCAGAGGCTTAACGACTGAGCCACCCAGGTGCCCCGGTTTTCAATCTTCTTTGATAAAAATGTTGAAAGCTAGAATTACCCTCAAACACTGCTTTTGGTCATGCTTTTATTGCCATCCAGTTATAAGGATTTCTTTCTTTGATGTTTTATTTTTTTAACTCGAGAGTTATTTGTATTATATTATTTAAGTTTGGGGGGCTTCTATATTTTTGATTTTTAGAGCTGTCTGAATTAGAGTTTGGACTGAGGTAGAACAAAGGGAAGCTAGAACAGAATGCCTCCGAAGACATTTATTTCACAAAAAAAGCCCCAGAGTGGGTAGGCGGCTCTCCCGCAAGAGGTCATAGGTCCTGCCTTTTATATCGCCCTGCTCTGAGCATCATCCTGACTTACATGGCTGAAGCCATCCCCCTGTCACCAAATTCATGTCCTAGTGTATGAGAAGACAGAACTCAAAGTAAGGAGCCATTAGCTTCCTTTTAAGGACATGACCCAGAAGACACCCACCTTCCTTCTGTTCATATCCAATTGGCCAAAATTTAGGTATATGGCTCCAGGTGGCAGTTTGGAGGCAACTGGGGTTTGGTAAGAAAAACAGAAATTGGGGCGCCTGGGTGGCTCAGTTGGTTAAGCAACTGCCTTCGGCTCAGGTCATGATCCTGGAGTCCCTGGATCGAGTCCCGCATGGGGCTCCCTGCTCAGTGGGGAGTCTGCTTCTCCCTCTGATCCTCCCCCTCACATGCTCTCTGTCTCCCATTCTCTCTCTCAGATAAATAAATAAAAAATCTTAAAAAAAAAAAAAGAAAAAGAAAAACAGAAATTGAACCAGTAATGTGAACAGTCTACAAGCCAAGGAGAGAGGCCTCAGCAGAAACCAAACCCGCCAACACCTCCATCTTGGTTGCATAGCCTCCAGAACCGTGAGAAAGTTCATTTCTGTTGCTGTTTGAGCCCCTCGGTCTGTGGTACTTTGTCACGGCAGCCCCGGTAAACTAATACCATCTCCAGTGCTATAATTTCAGACCCGTGTTAGCCCTAGAAGGAGGAACTAGGCCTTGACACGGAAGCCTTTCCAAAGCTGTTCACATCACACCCATAACACAGCCTGGTTTGGCAGCCAGATTTAACAAGCCCGGGCCTGGGACATGTCTCACGGATGCCTCAGGATGTTTCTTCCTTCAGAGTGTCATTCACGTCCTTCTGCTCAGGAACGAATCTGAGGACAAGCAACATTTTGGTGAGGCTCCGGCCTCTTCCAGCTGCCTTGGCTGGGAGGACCTGTGGGACGCACTGGGAAGGACTGGGGGAGAGGTGAGAACAGCAGGGCTGAGGATGAGGGAGGAGAGAAAGAAGCACCCTCTCAGTCATGGAACCAGATTTCTTTCAATAGGTGTGGGGGAGGAAGGCACTTTATGAGGTCTAGAAACATAGAGGGAAAGGCAGGAAGGGAATGGTGTATGGTGAGTTCAGGACTAAGGGATCCAGAGGTGGTCCAAGTGTCCCAGCCTCTTCTGCCTCTTGATTAAGTCAGGAGGCTAATTTCCTCCTAGCTCATTGCAGCTGTCAACCTTGATCATTTCCTTCCCTCGGTCTCTATGTATGACAAGTTCATTGTGTCACTGAAAAAATATTTACTGAGCATGAGCCCTGTACTGACATGTAGCAGTGGTGCAGACAGCCCCTGTCTTCATGCTGCTCCGGTCTGGGTGGGCAGGAGGGGCACTGAGCAAGCGCCATGGGGTGTGCTGAGTGTTTCACAGGGGGCAATAGGGGGCACTGCAGGAGCACTCGCACAGAAAGAATACTGGATCTGAAGGCCTCAGTGAGGAAGTTGGGACCTGAGAGATGAAGGGGGTTAGGGTGGGAGGAGAGAGTTCCAGGCAAAGAGAACTATGCTGTGAAAACCATAAAGTAATTCAAGTGTCGGTGCATGACACCGAAGAAGCCCAGGGGCTGGACTGTGTAGTGACCAGGACGGTGGCCAGGGCCTGAGGCAGCAGGCGGGAGCCTGCTGGGAAGAGCTTTCTAGGAAAAGGTAAGGATTTTAGACTCTCCCCGAAGGCCAGTGGGAAACTATGGAAGGATTTAAGCGGTGTGACTGGATCTACCCTGTTTGTTGGGTAGATGGTGGATTAATTGTAGAGCAAGCTGCAGCAGTAGTTCAGGCAAGAAATGATGGTGGCTTGGAGGAGGGTAGCTTCTGTGGGGACTGAGAGAAGTGACAGAGAACCTCTGGAACATTCTAAAGGATCTGATAGGGGGTGAAGGAGAGGGGAGAGCTAAGTGTGACACTCAGATTTCTCGGGAGACTGTGAAGAGCTGGAAGACAAGAGGGTCTAGACATCACTCTACAAGGTCTGTCAAGGGGAAGCAGGATTTTTTTTTTTTTAATACGAGTATCGGGGCACCAGGGTGGCTCAGTCGGTTAAGCGTCTGACTTTGGCTCAGGTCATGATCTCATGGTCTTGGGATTGAGCCCCAAATTGGGCTCTGCCCAGTCTGCTTCTCCCTTTCCCTCTGCCCCTCCCTCCCACTCATGAGCAATGCTCTCTCTCCCTCTCAAATAAATAAATAAAATCTTTAAAAATAGGAGTAGGGAGAAGGATTAATAATATCTGGAAACACTATTGGGGTGTCAATACAATGGCGTATTGTATTATTGTTCACGATATTTGCTGTCTCTCCTGAAGGATGCCCAGTTATCAGGCTTGGCCATATGACTTACTTTAGCCAGTGAAATATGAACACAAATGACGTGCATCTTTTCTGAGTGGAAGCTTCAAGAGCTAGCTCATGGTGGTCCATGTGTCTTTTCTCTCTGCCAGGGTATTGCAATGTTTCGGAGGCTCCTGTGAATGAAGAGACTGGGTCCATGCACAAAGGTGTGGAGCAGAGCCCAGCCACCCCACGTTGGACAAGGGGACATGGGTGAGTCTCTGCCTTTGTATGTGTGAACCACTGGGGTTTGGGCTCATTTGTTTCTGTGGTATATGCTGACCACCCCTCTCCTCTTCTAGACCTTGAGCTGTTTGGTGAGTTGGGGGAGTGGAGAGCCTTCAATCAGGACTGTGGGGATATCTCCAGGGAAGGAGCTGGTTTTAGTTAGGGTAATAGTCGGAGGGAATATTCAGGGAGTGGTTTGCAGGGGTCAGGATGGAAGAATTTGGGAAGGATGAAGGAGGGAGGAGACAGGTAGAGCAAAAGACAACACAGAGAACAACAGAGATGAGAGAAGGAACCCGGGATGATGAGAGGGGCCTGTATTGGGGGGGATTCCCAAGGAAAGCAAAGATAGGAACCATGATGAATTTGGTCATGGCATCCTGGGAGGGCGTTGGGTTCTGAGGCTCAGAAGCACATAGTACTATGAAAACAGCCCCTCAGTAACCACCCCCCGCCCCCGCCGTCCCATGATGAGACTCATCTGGCCTGAGTTGTTCATCAGTCAACCCTGAATGCCAGCTATCTGTGGGATGAATGAATTAATGAAACTTACGGATCCGTGGTCAAATCTCTTCCATCAGCAAAGGGTGCCTCTCAGCAGTCTGTAGACCAAGGTTGACCAAGGGCAAGTTACCCAACCTCTCTGACCTTGGTTTCCTTAGCTCTGAAATGGGATAATAATAGTTCTCTAACTCATGGGGCTGTTCTCAGAACTAAATGAGATGCTGGACAGCCATCCAGATTTTTGGCAATTGTTTTGTCCTAATTTTCATAATGACATCTGTGCCCAGTCCAGACAAATATGTCACTCCTCTCTACTAGAATGCCACCCATCCCCCCCAACCTTTCTGCCCCCAGCCTTAGCAGAGAGGAAAAGCGACTTGTCCAAAGACCCTCTAGGCAGATTGAAGACCCAACCCAGGGCTTTCCTTACTATACTTGAACAAATCACCACAATCTTAGAGGCTTACAGCAACACAAATTTATTATCTTTTAGTTCGAGAAGTCAGAAATCTGAAAGGCGTCTCCCTGGGCTAGAACACAGGGCTGCATCCCTTCTGGAAACTTGAGGGAATGGAAATCCATTTCCTTGCCTTTTCTAGCTTTGTATTCCTCGGCTCGTGGTCCCTTCCTCCATCCTCGGAGCTAGCAATGGCATTACCTCCACACCCCCTTCTGAACCTCGTGCCTCCCTCTCACTTATAAGGACCCTGGTGATTACACTGGGTCCACTTGGATAATCCAGGATGATCTTCTCAACTGAAAATCCTTAATCCTTCATCACATCTGCAAGGTTCCTTTCACCAGGAAAGATAATCCATTGCCAGGTTCCAGGGATTAGGACATGGGCATTTTTGGGGGGCCATGATTTTGCCTACCACAGAGGGCAAGTTGGAAAATGGCTCTCAGGCCTCAGAGACTCTTTACATCCCTCCCAGTCTCCCCAGCTATGTGCTGATCTCATCTTTCTTTCCCTCTTTTTCTCATTTATTTCTGGCCCTACAGTTCATTTTTCTAAAAAAAGATTTTATTTATTTATTTGAGAGAAAGAGCACAAGCCGGGGAGAAGCAGAGACAGAATCTCAAGCAGACTCTGCACTGAGCGCGGGACCCAATGCGGGGCTTGATCCCACAACCCATGAGATCATGACCTGAGCTGAAACCAAGAGCCAGATGTTCATCCCACTGAGCCACCTAGGCGCCCCTACAGCTCATTTTAAAACAGATACATCAGCTAGAGGCATTTGCTCCAAATCCCCTAATCCTTATGAATGGTGGTCCAGATCAAGGTCCCCTTTGATTCCCAAATGAGCTTGATCAGACACGGTCTCTGGGTGGACCCTAGTCTAGAAGAGCACAGTCCAAGAGAAATTGAATGTGAGCCACCACAATGTAAGTCACATATGTGATTTCGAAATTTCTAGGAGTCTCATAAAAAAAGGTAAAAAGAAATAAATAGAATTAATGTTATTTATTTATTTATTTATATATTTATTTATTTTTAAAGATTTTTATTTATTTATTTGACAGAGAGAGACACAGCGAGAGAGGGAACACAAGCAGGGGGAGTGGGAGAGGGAGAAGCAGGCTCTCCGCTGAGCAAGGAGCCTGATGCGGGGCTCGATCCCAGGACCCTGGGGTCATGACCTGAGCCGAAGGCAGACACTTAACAGACTGAGCCACCCAGGCGCCCCGGAATTAATTTTAATAATATACTTTTTATTTAAGCAAATATAATGGAAACACCATTTCAGATGCCTCCAATATAAAAATTAGTAATGAGATAGTTTATATTAAGCCTTTGAAATCTGTTGTGTATTTTATACTTTAGCACATCTCTGTTCAGACTGGCCAACTGTGCTGGTGGCTACCATGTTGGATGGTAATGGGCCTAGAACAAAAGCTCTGCAAGGGCCCCCAGGGCCTAATGCAATCCCTGGCACACTAGGCCTTCAGATCTGTTAAATGCAGGGACTGAAGGCTTAGGTTCTTTTCCATAGCCCTGGACAGCTGATCCAGGGAAGGAAGGAAGCCTAAAGAGGAGGGTCCCTTGTATCTAATTTGCATAATCCCTCCTAGGCATTTACTCTTCCAGCAGTTTCTCTCTGCTGGTTCACACTGGGTCTACTCTTTTTTTTTTTTTTTTTTTTAAGATTTTATTTATTTATTTGACAGAGAGAGAGATAGCGAGAGCAGGAACACAAGCAGGGGGAGTGGGAGAGGGAGAAGCAGGCTTCCCACCCAGCAGGGAGCCGGATGTGGGGCTCGATCCCAGGACCCTGGGATCATGACCTGAGCTGAAGGCAGACGCTTAAGGACTGAGCCACCCAGGCGCCCCTCACTGGGTCTACTCTTACCTGGACAACCTTGAAAAATGCACTGTTGAGCTGTGCTCAGTGCTTAGTCCTACTTGGAAGGTAAAGGACAGAAAGGAGCCAATTCCCTGGGGACCTCTGGGGGTGGGTGGGTCAAGAAGAATGTCCCCAAACCTGTATTACCCAAGGCCCTCGTGATCTGGTCCTGATCCCTACTCACCTCCTGCCTTATCACCTCGTTAGGGACTGAACCGTGTCCGCCCCTTCCCCTCAAATCTGTGTGGATGTCCTAACCTCCAATGTGACTGAATTTGGAGATGGGGCCTTTAGGGAGGTCATTAAGGTTAAATGAGGCCGTAAGGGTAGAGCCCTAATCCCATGGGACTGCTGTCCTTGTAAGAAGAGGAAGAGACACCCAGGATGCACACACACCCAGAAAAGGCCATGTGAGGACACAGGGAAGCCATCTTCGAGCTGAGGAGAGAGGCCTCAAGAGAAACCAGCCCCGCTGACGTCTCGATCTTGGACTTCTAGCCTCTAGAACTGTGGGGACAGTAAATGTCTGTTGTCTGAGCCCCCCGGTCTGTGGTGTTCTGTTGTGGCAACAGCAACAGTCAACTAACACAAGCTCTGGTCCTACACACCTGTCCTTCAGCAAGTTAAACACAGAATTGCCACTTCACTCAGCAGTGCCATTGTGAAGTGAACGCCCAAGAGAACTGAACAGACATTCACACAAAAACCTGTACACGAACGTTCACAGCAGCGTTATTTGTAGTGGTCAGAAAGTGGAAACAGGGGCGCCTGGGTGGCTCAGTCGGTTAAGTGTCCAATGCTTGATTTCGGCTCAGGTCATGATCTCAGGGTTGTGATATCGAGCCCCACGTCGGGCTCCACGCTGGGCGTGGAACCTACTTGAGATTCTCTCTCTCCCTCTCCCTCTGGCCCTCCCACCCCTGCTCTCTCTCTCCCTCTCAAAAAAAAAAAAAAAAAGTGAGAACAACCCAAATGTTCAACTGATGAATGGATAAACAGAATGTGGGATAAAATGAAATATTATTCAGCCACGGAAAGGAATGAGGTTCTGAGACATGCTATCATGTGGCTGAACCTTGACAACATTATGCTTGCTGAACGAAATTAGACATAAAAGTACAAATACTGCTATCATTCTGTTTACATGAAATGTCCGGAAGAGGCAGATAGGAAGAGACAGAAAGTGGATTCATGGCTGTCAGGGGCTGAGGGAAGAGGGGAGTGGGGAGTGACTGCTAATGGGGATGGGGTTTCTTTTGGGGGTGGTGAAAATCTTCTGGTCATGGGTGCAGCACATTGAGAATGTGCTGAAACCACTGACTTATACCTTGAAAATGCTGAATTTGATGGCATGCAAGGGACATCTCAGTTTTAAGAACCTCATGCTGCCATATTGGATTTCCTTCCACTCCTTGATTCTGCTGTCTCACTTCACCTCTGAAACTGCACCTGTAGTTCATTTTACTCAGAAAAAAAGGCTTCATCACCACTTCCTTCTTCCCCCCTACTGGTAAAATTCAAGCTCTACAGTGTCCAGGAAGAGAGAGCTTTGCGGGTGAGCGTTGTCATATTGTCTGCATTGACTTTAAGATACTTCCACACATTCTGAGGAGCAGAGCTGGGGTTGAGGATGGGCAGGGCAGGGCAGGGGGGTGGGGTGGGGGATTACTGTCATTACAAACCCTATGTAGATACATTTATTTTATTTTATTCATTTTTATTATCATTTTTAAAGATTTTATTTTTTTTTAAAGATTTTATTTATTTATTTG